ATATGTACTTACGCACAAAAATGTTGCTCATCAACGTGGCTGGTAAACAGAAAACGATAACCAATATATCTGCAATAGCCAGATTGACAATAAAATAATTGGTAACCGTACGCATTCGTGGCGCCCTCAGAACGACGGCAATCACAAAACTATTGCCAACCAAACCAACCAGAAACACAACAATGTATGCAATGCAATAGACAATTGTCATTAGCAGCGAGTGCCGATAGAGTACATCGAAATCAGTCGCGCCAAGTTCCCAATAAACGCTGGCATTATCAGAATCCGGCATCATTGCGGCAGTTGGCGTTGAAATCGTTTCGGCTGCTACTCCAATAGCGCTCGATGGTGAAATGTCTGCCAACAAATTGGCATATAAGCTAGTAAATGCGCCACCACTGGCAGTGTCCGGTTGAATATGGCCCAGTAGCAGGTCCTCAGCTGTGAGTGGTGTTGCAGCACCTGTCACCGTTGCAGTGGCTGTTGTCATCACAGAACCCAACAATGTGTCTACAACTAAACTGTTCGGTGTGCTTAAAAGTTGAATGGTTTCATTTTGTTTATAGGTGGTGGTGGTGGTGGTGTGTGAGAGGGCAGCTGGTGCAATGATGCTTGCATGCAGCGAGGATAGCGACATGCCGACCTCAACGACGGCGGTTTCATTCAAAGTTATGTGAAGTAAATCGTTATTCATTTCGGAAAATTGTTCCACATATTCGGGATTTCGTAATAAGTCTAAAAAATTATTTGTATTATTCTGTTGTTGGTCAATTGTGTTGAACATATTTGCTGATATAGTAGTGGTGTCCGTCTCGCTGTTGTGATGTTGTTGTGGCTTGGTGCTGTCAAGCTTAGCCGTTGAAGTTTTGTAATTGAAGTTGTCATGCTTTGATGCAGTGGCTGGTGTTCGATTGTGCAGAGGTTTCAACAAATTTGTGCCATTTAGACGTTTGTACTTTTGCAATTTTTGAATAATATTTTGTGGATCTGCCGATGCAACCATAGTTGGACAGTTCTAGTGGGAAGAAATAAAATTTAATTAGCTTATTGCTGCTGAAATTCAGTGCGTGTTATAAATGTATGTATGTATTTGTGTAGAAAAAGACGTATTTAATGTATGTATATTTAACAGGGCAATTCTGACTGAAGATGGTAAGATGGTTCAAAAGACTTTTGTTATTCTAGCACAAAAGTTTTAGAAAAAAGCTCCCTCATTCACCATTCGTGGTGAAAAGCTATTTGGAGAAAAAGCACTTATATATCATATACAGGCCAATTCTGAACAGAAACTCCCTGGAACGCTCCAACGGTCATACTGGCCGAATGAACAAAAAAAGTTCCGAGTTCAAATCCTAGGAAATATTTTTTCCCTTTTTAATAACATTTTATTTTCGTTTTTAATTTAGTTAAATTTTTTTAAACTTATTTTATGTTTATATTTATATTAAACTTTTTCTTTCTTAATTTAGTTTTGTTTTAATTTTTATATGTTATTCTTTCAACAAGAATATTTTTTTTTCTTTAATTTCATTTAGTTTTTAGGAACCTATTTAATGTTTGCGTTTTTTTAAATAAATTTTGTTTCTTCTTTAAGTTTAATTTTATTTTAATTTTTAGATTGTATTGTTTAAAAAAGGAAAATATTTTTTAGCTTAATTAAATTTTTGAAACTTTTTAATTTCTGTTTTGCTTTTAAATTTAATTTGCGTTCTTTTAATTTAACTTTCTTTTAATTTTTAGATTTGTCTTAAAAATACAATTTCTTTTTGTCATTTTTGTTTCCCATTTAATTCTTTTTATAATTTAATTTTTAGTTTTGGAATTTTTGAAAGGAAACAAAAATATTTTTTTTTTTATTTCATTTAATTTAAAAAAATATTTTTATTATGGCTTTATTTTCATTTTATTTCTAAATTAATAAAAGTATATAGAATTTTTTAATTTAATTAAAAAAACTCATTGCTAAAAGGCGACCAGCATAACGCTAAGACCTCCTTGTTAGAAGATCTTTTTTCCGGACATTTTAGGATTTTTTCAGAACTATCTCGCAGATTTTCAGAATGGTTTTTGAATTTTTTGAGACTTTTCAGCTCTCTTCAGGATTTTTCGGTAGATTTAATGCCTTCTGAAGATAATTATCATCCCTTTTTCCAAAGATATATATGTATATATTTTTCGAAATGCAGACATACTAGGTATCCAATCATAATTCTATGTCGCGGTGACGTGAAAAGGAAATTTTCACTATTTATGGAAAATTAAGTTTTTGATTTCGGCATTTCCAAAAAATATTCCACAAATATTGAATTTTGTTAAATTTTAACATTTTCATTTAGAAATAGAATCGAAATTTTATGTGTAGCAATGAAAAATCCATAGCATCAAAATTGGGCTTAAAATTAAATTTTTAATTCATTATTTTGTGCATCACTATTTGAGGTGGCAGAAAATTATGGAATTCTTTATTAATATTTTAAATAACGACAGAAAATTGTTTTCAGCTTGGAACTTTTTAATAGTTGTTGGTTTGGTAAATATTTACTTATATGGTAGATATGTACATACCAAACCAGCCATTAAAAACTTTCAATAAGCAATAACTTTCCTCGAAGTTTTTTATTTATTTAAATTTTAAAAACTTTCACAAAGTGTGTGCACCATAAAATATGTACTATGGATATTGTTGTTCTCATTATTGAAGTGCATTTACCGCGCTGCTTTAGTCGATTGTACAACCTTTCCCGCCTGTTAAACAACTCAAGGTCCACTGCTACACTTTCTGCCAGAGGACCTTGTGCACTCACTTTAAGGCCATCGTCCAGATTACTACATAGTGCATACATATCGACATACATAAGTAAATGTATATAGACGTTTGTATGTACATACTACAAACATATACAAGGATAGAGTAGTTGCTTTTGTTGCATATGGTTGGAACCAAGTAAAATTGCATCGCCTAATTTCTACGAATACACAAACGAAATGCCCACAAATGTGTATACATACATGGCTGTGCATTCATATGTAGATACATATCTACCTACAGTTACATATGTATATAATATATATATTTACATGTACAGACAATCACACATTCAAACAAATATTACTGTCAAAGCGCCTGAAAACCAATTTCAATTTCTGTTTCGAAGGTTGAAACACGAAATTTTCACATTTCACAAGGTTGAGGTGGCATGCGGCACAAAGGAGGTAATTGTGTGTTTTATGGAGATACATATATGTATAAAGCACTAAATGAGCATACAACTGTATATTTATAATGCTTTGATATATGTGCTCTAATACTAAATATTTGTAAGTATGTAATAACTTAATTACACCCACACACACACTGCAATTGAAATTCAATCACTGCAATGAAACACAAACTACAATCTACAATCAGTGTTGAAATTATCTACTTACTTAAGTGCTATTCTTGCCACAAAAGCTAACAAAATTACTATGTCTAGATATATAATTGTTGTACGCATTAGCCCAAAGCTTGCCTTTACGGTACATAAATAGAACACAAACGTAGTAAGTAATTGCTGATATTAAGAAGCTCCGCAAGCCAACTCCGCCCCACCCCAATTGTGCGCACAACTGCTCGTAGCTAAACCAAAGAAACAAACTCTCAACAACACTCAACCACAATCAAATGAGCGTCGATGGAGCGATAAAAAGTTCAGTTGCAGACAGTAAGGCGACAATATTTATATGATTTGGAAATTTATCTTACACTAAAAGTGTGGACAAGCGTTACGTTTGAATGCGTGCTGCCACTGGCACTACCACAGATGAAAGGGCAATGCCTTTGAAGTATTCAGCGAAGTGAGGGATGGAGTGCAGAGGCCTACTAGCTAACATGGCTGGCCCACTGAAATATGTCTTCAGCTTTGCGTAAATTTATAACTTTCAAGTTCTGTTAGGAATAAGCTGGGACATATACATATGTACATGTATGTACATGCACACATTTATAAATACCCACATGACAACGCATTTCTTTTTCGTTTGTGTATTAATTTTTTATTTTTTTTTTTTGTTATTCTCTAGTCGGTGCCTAAAGTTTTTAACAGCCGACTGGTCACAAACACCAACAATTAATGATAAGTAAAACCCATGGAAGCAGAACAATAAATGAAATAGCACAAATGCTCCGCATGATAGGACTCCAGTTGTGAACCCACACTTGTGCTATATTAACTTTGATATGCATACCCTGCAGTGAAAAGCCAAACCAGTTAGAAAAAATACTAGTTCATTAACTAGTATATGCCTACCAGTTCGACAATTTCGAAGAACTTAGGCTATCAGCGACATCTGCCTTTGAATTGCCAAAGCCAAAAATAAAACGCAATTAATTGCTTTTCTTACAAATGTCGGCTGTGGCGTCACGTGAAGAAAGACTACTGGTTCTGGTTCTGGAATCGCAGGTTCGAGGCCGCTTGGAGGGGGTTAAGATTTTTAAAGTTAAATAAATGTAGGTAAAAATAATTTATTCAATTTATAAATAAATAACAAATTTGAAAATCCAAATGCATTGCAAAAAAACATTTAGGAAGAAATGCTTGTGCTATAAAAACAAAGAAATTAAACAAAAATATTTTTTTATTAAATTTAAAAATTACAATAAACAGCCTAAACAAAAAAATTAATTCATAAAAAATAAAAATAAAATAAAAAATAGAAAATAAAAAAACTTTACCTGCGCCAGGATTTGTACCTGGGACCTCAGGCTTACCACGCGAGTGCTTTGCTCTGTCGGCCATTGTGACTGCTGGAGCGTCGCGAGCAAAAAGGCACACTNGCCTAAAAAAAATTAATTTATAAAAAATAAAAATAAAATAAAAAATAGCAAATAAAAAAAACTTTACCTGCGCCAGGATTTGTACCTGGGACCTCAGGCTTACCTTACCGAGTGCTTTGCTCTGTCGGCCATTGTGACTGCTGGAGCGTCGCGAGCAAAAAGGCACACTATGCTTTTCACGGGGCATGAATTGGCAGACTATCTCATCAACTGGTATGATGCTACTAGTATTTATACTAGTAGATGCTGATGCATAGCTTGACAATTGACATCTCGTAGGACATCGCAATTTTAAAAATACCAGTCGCTAACATGGAAAAAGGATAGAACTTGAACTAGTTCGGCTGAAACGGTAGAATTCTAGTTCACTAACTAGTAGCTTTCCCTGCAGGGATAGGTACAATGAGTGTTGGTATGTAAATATGCACATATGTATGTATGTATGTGGGGATACCATGCTGCTTTTGTATGTATGTATCCAAGTTTGTAGTGAATGCTGAGTCAAGGAACTGGTTCTTAATAGAGTAGTATAATAAATAATGCCTAGAAATATAAGGACCAGTCCAAAAGGGTAATTAAAAAGGGCTGCGAAAAAAATGTTATTCAACTTTAGAGACATTAAGAATTTATTATGAATCTTTCAAACATTTAGTACGCACGTTGAGCGAATTGGTTGGATGTTGAACAATTTATTAATTTCCAATTCAAAACAGAGACTACTATCAATAAAAGTTATTTTTCGAATTTCGAAAAAATTGGTTACTTTAAAAAATTTTTTCAAAAATTCAGTGCAATGTAGAATAACAATATGGGTATGAAATAATAGAGAGATTCCTTAGAATCAAAACATAATAAGTTGTTGTTGCAAAAGGGCGAACGGGTATGGGTATCCTTTTAAAATTTGTCCATGAATATCCTTGAAAATTTCCAATAATAATTTTTTGTTTAATTNTGACATCTCGTAGGACATCGCAATTTTAAAAATACCAGTCGCTAACATGGAAAAAGGATAGAACGTGAACTAGTTCGGCTGAAACGGTAGAATTCTAGTTCACTAACTAGTAGCTTTCCCTGCAGTGATAGGTACAATGTGTGTTGGTATGTAAATATGTACATATGTATGTGGGGATACCATGCTGCTTTTGTATGTATGTATCCAAGTTTGTAGTGAAAGCTGAGTCAAGGAACTGGTTCTTAATAGAGTAGTATAATAATAAGTGCCTAGAAATATAAGGACCAGTCCAAAAGGGCAATTAAAAAGGGCTGCGAAAAAAATGTTATTCAACTTTAGAGACATTAAGAATTAATTATGAATTTTTCAAACATTTAGTACGCACGTTGAGCGAATTGGTTGGATGTTGAACAATTTATTAATTTCCAATTCAAAACAGAGACTACCATCAATAAAAGTTATTTTTCGAATTTCGAAAAAATTGGTTACTTTAAAAAATTTTTTCAAAAATTCAGTGCAATGTAGAATAACAATATGGGTATGAAATAATAGAGAGATTCCTTAGAATCAAAACATAATAAGTTGTTGTTGCAAAAGGGCGAACGGGTATGGGTATCCTTTTAAAATTTGTCCATGAATATCCTTGAAAATTTCCAATAATAATTTTTTGTTTAATTTTACGCTAAGGAATTATATACACACAACCACGTTCTCGATTTTAGTCCTTCAAACTTTATTAAGCTTAAAAATAAAATTAATTAAAAGCGCATTGTCGCACGGTGCAATCAAGTAAAATGCTTCGTAATTTCGTTTTTCGTGACTTTTTAAGATGCTTTTCTATAGAGCGTGTCAAAAAGTACTGTTTATTTTTTGCCAGGAAAATATCAGATAAACTTTGGCTCTTTATTTTTTAATCTTAATTTAAAAATGTTAGTTGTTTACTAATAAATGTAAAATTTTTTCGTGCTAATACCACGTATAAGATATTCCGAAAATTTTACAAAAGGGCAAAGAAACTTATTTTCTTAAAAACTGAAATTAGGCTAACGGTTACGCTAACTAGTTCACAAAGCGTAAAAGCATAATGGAGCGGCGGGCAAAGCGATGAGCTAGCTTCGAGCAAAGCTTCATTTAAAAACGTGTATGTACGCCTTGCTCGTTTCTTGAAAATGAAATGTTTTGGTTAAAATTCATCTTTGAGTGCACAAAGCGAAAATAGAGTTGTTTTCAGTGTCCCATCAGTCACATTCATATAAATGATAGCTACATAGAACAAAGAAATCGTTTGGTATTTTTGTTAAAGCAATTTTATACATTAGTTATCGTTCTATGTTAAAAAATATCTTTCACTGTTGCATTATTCCGACGACATAGTTATAATTCAAAATTAACGACATTCTGGACTAAAATAACCCATCAGTCACATTGGAATGGCCCATTCCCAGAATTTATGTTCAGTTTTTAAGTTACCAAAAATTTACGTCCCGTTTTTAAATAACCAGGAATGTGTGTGCGCTTTTTTATTGAGCATAAATGCATGTCCACTTNATACGCTAAGGAATTATATATACACAACCACGTTCTCGATTTTAGTCCTTCAAACTTTATTAGCTTAAAAATAAAATTAATTAAAAGCGCATTGTCGCACGGTACAATCAAGTAAAATGCTTCGTAATTTTTCGTTTTTCGTGACTTTTTAAGATGCTTTTCTATAGAGCGTGTCAGACGTGGCAATGCAATATGTTTCGAAAGCCCTAAAAAAAAAACAAAAACTACTGCCTATTTTTTGCCAGGAAAATATCAGATAAGCTTTGGTTCTTTATGTTTTAATCTTAATTTAAAAATGTTAGATGTTTACTAATAAATAGGTTTAAAATTTTTTCGTGCTAATACCACGTATAAGATATTCCGAAAATTTTACAAAAGGGCAAAGACACATTTTTTTTCTAAAAACTGAAATTAGGCTAACGGTTAGGCTAACTATAACTAGTTCACTAAGGGTAAAAGCATAGTGGAGCGCCGAGCAAAGCGATGAGCTAGCTTCGAGCAAAGCTTCATTTACAAACGTGTATGTACGCCTTGCTCGTTTGAAATCGACGCTTTTCTCGATGCTCTTTGTCCACCGCTATGCTTTCAGCCTAAGTGGTATAACGGTGATGCAACTTGTTAAATATGCGTTTGGATGTAAAAACATTTTTGGTCATACAAAACACTACATAGACATACATTTTTAGAGAAAATGTCGACAATTTAATTAATTCTGTTTGATTTTAACTTTTTGCAATTCAATAGTCGTTGTTCAGTTTTTAAATTACCAAAATGTTGTTTCGAGTTTTAAAATAAGCAAAAGTTTATGATCAGTTTTTCAAATTAAATAAATATAAAAACCCAAATTCATAAAAAAATAACGAAGAGTTCACTTGCTTTACAAATCGCAAATTTGTATGAAAATATCACTTTATAAAGCTCTTTTAATCTGTTTTAGTTTTTATCAACAAGGCCATAAAAATATATGTATAGTATAAAAATTACGAACACAATGCCCAGTTTTTAAATTAGGGTCCTTCCATGGAAAAGAGGAAAAAGACATAAATTTTAAAATACTTAAATCATACATATTTTAATAGTAACTTTTTGCTAACTGACTAAACTTCATTTATCTGTTGAAAAGTATTAAAAAAATAAAAAGAAGAATTTTTTTATGGAAATCATTATTTCAGTCATAGTTACTTTACACCAGTCACGAGGACCTGTCCCACCAGTCATATATTTTTAAATATAAAAAGATAAAATTGAGTTGTTTTCAGTGTCCCATCAGTCACATTCATTTCAATGATAGCTACATAGAACTAAGAAATCGTTTGGTATTTTTGTTAAAGCAATTTTGTACATAAGTTATCGTTCTATGTTAAAAAATATCTTTCGACATAGTTGTAATTCAAAATTAATGACATTCTGGACTAAAATAACCCATCAGTCCCAATGGAATGGCCCATTCCCAGAATTTATGTTCAGTTTTTAAGTTACCAAAAATTTACGTCCAGTTTTTAAATGACCAGGAATGTGTGTGCGCTTTTTTATTGAGCATAAATGCATGTCCACTTTGTAAAATACTAAAAACTTTTGCGCAATTTACAAATTACCAAAAATTTTTGTTTAATTTTTAAACAGCCAAAATGCGTGTATCATTTTTAAAGAACTAGAAATTTATATCCACTTTTTAAATGTCCAAAAATATGTATGTCCAGTTTTTAAAAGAACAAAAACATATGTTAATTTTTAAATTAAAAAAAAATATTAAAAAATTATGTGTAGCTTTTAAATTAACAAAATTTATGGTCATATTTTTAATAAACAGAAGTTTGTGTCCTACTGTAAATAGTATAAAATGTATGTCCTGTGGTTAAATGTAAAAGGATTAATATCAAATTTTTCAAATAAGCGAAACCCTATGTCCAGTTTCTGAAAAAATCAAATATTATTGTGCAGTTTTTTTATTACCAAAAAATTTATGTGTGTGTGGTTTTAATTTCAAGCGTTCAAATTAACGTAGAACTTTACAATGTCAAAAATACTGCTATGCAACAACAAAAAACGTAGGGATGAGCTCGCTCAACTATTAAGCAAGCTACATACATATATATGTATTTCGAAAGTAGTTGATTTGATTACTGGGTAAGCAAATATGTGCTCATACAAAGGGAATAAGGCCAAACGAAGCTAAATTAAAAAAAAAATAGAACTAAAAAGGGTCATGGGATTATTGTCGTGAACTTTAGAAAAAATTTAATAATAGCCAACTGTAGAAACAAACNTTATGTTAATTTTTAAATTAAAAAAAAATATTAAAAAATTATGTGTAGCTTTTAAATTAACAAAATTTATGGTCAGATTTTTAATAAATAGAAATTTGTGTCCTACTGTAAATAGTAAAAAATGTATGTCCTGTGGTTAAATGTAAAAGGATTATTATCAAATTTTTCAAATAAGCGAAACGCCATGTCCAGTTTCTGAAAAAAAAATTAAACATTATTGTGCAGTTTTTTTATTACCAAAAATTTATGTGTGTGTAGTTTTAATTTCAAGCGTTCAAATTAACGTAGAACTTTACAATGTCAAAAATACTGCTATGCAACAACAAAAAACGTAGGGATGTGCTCGCTCAACTATTAAGCAAGCTACATACATATGTATATATTTTGAAAGTAGTTGATTTGATTACTGGGTGAGCAAATATGTACTAGTACAAAGGGAATAAGGCCAAGCGAAGCTAAATTAAAAAAAAATAGAACTAAAAAGGGTCATGGAATTACTGTCGTGAACTTTAGAAAAAATTTAATAATAGCCAACTGTAGAAACAAACACATCATTTTGAATTGCATGCCTTTTCATAATATGTGTGTATATATGGATGTACATGGGTTTGTGTGTAACTATGTATGTGTGTAGTAAGCTCCAACGGCCAGTGGGTCACAGTTGGACGCAATCAACAACTTAAAAATGACTATTGCTGCCCTGTACTTAAGCATGAAATAATAACCATTTGAATGCTAAGCACGCACAAAAAATGCAAAACACATAATTTTCATGTAAATTTTCATTCAATTTTGCCCTTTTTTCTTAACTTTTTTTTTTTTGCAAAAGTTTTCTCCGTTTTTATTGCTTTTATGCGTCTATGCATTTCATCCTTCATTTTTTGTTTTACCCTGCCAAACTTCAATGTTAAATTAGAACAACAACAACAACAGTGCTATGCAAGTATGAGTGTCTGATCTGATCACTTANAATTTTTTGTTTTACCCTGCCAAACTTCAATGTTAAATTAGAACAACAACAACAGTGCTATGCAAGTATGAGTGTCTGATCTGATCACTTAAGTCGCACACTTAATCCACAGCATCAAATCTCAATTAATTAGCGAAGCCTTTGAATCCAACTAATTCGCCCTCAAATGAAATCAAATTCANAAGTCGCACACTTAATCCACAGCATCAAATCTCAATTAATTAGCGAAGCCTTTGAATCCAACTAATTCGCCCTCAAATGAAATCAAATTCAAATTTAACTGTTTTATTTTTGCATTACCGTGAACTGCAAAAGCTGAATAAATGTTGTTGGTGAGTTCAACGCAGTACACTCGACAGCACACAGAAATGTTTGAAATAATTTTTTTTATTTTTTTTTTTTTTTTTAAACTT